TAATTTCCGTAAAATATAATACACAACTTTATCATTAAAATTATTACTTACAAAATTTACTGTTGTTGGAAAGTAGATAGAAAAAATAAAGTGTTTAATTGAATTAAAAAATTATAATGAATTCCTAAATTCATAATAACTAGGAAGAAATAATTAAATAAATAACAAACAGAACTTCGCATATCCAAATGATTAAAGGAATAAAGTCGTTTCAAATGACAAGAACATTACATATAATATTAATATAAATAACTTATTAATACTTATTCAAGTTTCTTATGAATTATTAAATTGTTATTCATCAATTAACTTAAACAAGAAATAAAACAAAAAATGTTTAATAAAGGAAGTCCATTAAACTTTTGTTAGTAAATCTTTAAAATAATAAGTAGATCTATGACATTATTAAATAAATTATTTAATAATAAATAAAAACTATTTTATAATAAAATTAAAAAGAGATAAAAAAATCAGAACTTAAAAAATCAAAAAATAATGGGGATTTTTGATAATAAACAGACATTATTAAGTTCATTAGATAGAAAAGGACTTATTATTATTGGAGTAATATTTTCTATATTGGCTGTGTTATTAAGTGTTTTAGCTACAGTTTTCACATCAACTATAATAGAAAATTCTATGGATTTATGGAGATGTAATAGTACTGAGAAATTTGATTCTAAACAATGCATTGGGTACAATGCTTTTAATAAAGAAAAAGATGCAGTTCAATACGATAAAGTAAAAGTTCAATTTGGATATTTTTCACGATTTAATTATGAAGCAAGAATTAGTTTATCTGCAGAAATAAAAAGTGAAGAGTTAACAACACAAAAAACATTTGTAGTTCCAATTCACTATTATCTTGGAGGATATTCAGAAGAAGAAGCAATGAAAAGTGTAGATCCAGAATTAACAGAAACGATGAATATTAATTTTGAATGTTCAGAAAAGTCATGTAAAAGTGATTTCTTATTAAAGTTTAAAGCAGATTATCATTTTTATTATTTTATCTTCCAAACAGACAACTCATATAAAGATGAAATTACTATGAAACCAACATTAACACTCATGACATCAAATAGTTTCTTCACTGTTACAGAATTGTTTTGGAGAATTGCTTTTGTTTGTGTTGGAAGTATTCAATTAATGACATTTATGTATTGTATGAGAACTATTCCAATAAAAGAATGGATATTTGAACAAATTTTAACATTTACATTAATGTATATTTTATTATTATTTAATAACCCATTAGCATTGATTGAATATCAAGCACACCATTGGTTCTTTTCATTAATATCATCAGTTGCTGAATCATTTGCAATTTCATTCTTTTTATTTTATATATTAATTATATTTGATTCGTTAAGAAAACCAGTAAATAAGATGAGTACAACAACATTATGGTTTAAATTTATTGGTGTAAGAGTTATTTTTGTTGGAATAATATTTATTACATTATGTTGCTTTATTTTTACACAAAAAGTATATGACATTAAATATTTAATTGCAGGAACATCTAATGCTGTATTAATTATATTAGGAGTCATTGTATTGTTAATTGTTTTAACTTATGCATTTTGGTTAATCTTCTCTTTGATTAGAACATTCACAGAAAGACATAAATTAGGTGAAAAGTCAAGAAGAATTATTGGATTTAGTGTATTTAATATCATCATTGTATTCATTTTTATTATTGTATTAAGTATATTATTGTTTGATGGGTATGACGCTTCATCAATTTATTTAGCTTCAATTGTTTACTTTAATTTATATTGTTTTGCAATGGCATTATTAATGGTAAAGAATGATAAACAAGAATTAAATCGTAAGTCTAAGAAATTTGAAATATCTCATCCAACTGAAGTTTCCATGGAAGTTAATGAATATAATGATGACGATGAAATTATTATTAAAGAACAACCTGAAGAAGGTATTTTAGTTGATGAACAAATTTCTCTTTAATTCTTTTTTACTTTCTTTTTATTTTATTTCTTTTAGATTATTTTATTTAATATTTTATTATTAATTTTCTATAATAAATACTAAGTTGTTTCTTATTTTTATTATTTATTAACTCTCTTATTTTTTATTACGATTTTTTCTTTATATCAAATCTCATTATTTATTTTTCTATTTGCTCTTGTCAATGAAAATAAAATAAAAAAGAACGTTATTTAATTAAGAATAAAAGGAAGTTGAATTGTTCTTCCTTTAAACTCTATTAAACCTTCTTCTTCAAATGTTTTTCTTAAACTAATTTCACAAATTGAACTCTTTGAATCATCAACAATAGCTCCAGCTTTTTTAAGGTAATAAATATTTAAACGATACCAATCTTTTTTCACTGTATTAACATTATCAAAACTTTCATTTAACGAATTTTTTAAAGCACTAAATTCTATAAATCTTTGAATTTCAAAAATTGATATGTTTTTTGCTAAAGGAAAAACATCAAAGAAAAACATTTCTCTTTTAATCGCATTATTTTCTGAAGGATGAATAAGTACTCCTTGTTCATTAATAAATGGAACTTTTTTCTTAGCAATATGATATGGTAATTGATATTCTGCAGCTTTTTCTAAGAAAGATGTTGAAAATCCATTAATTGCGATATGTCCACAATTGTAAATAAATTCTCCGTTAGGTAATTGTTTATTTAATTCATCAGTTAATTCAGTGTATTCAATTACTTTAATTCTTTCTTGTTCTTTTACTAATATTCCAATTTTTTCTTCTTTTATTGATTTTTTAACAATTTTAATACAAACATCTGATTGAAGTAAATCCATATATCCTATCATATTTGGATCTACATCTTTACATAATATATTATCTACATTATGTGCGACTGAGTATTTGATTCCTTTCTTTTTCATAAATTCTAATATTCCATTATCTTTTAATGCTTTAAATAATCCTCCATTTCCATTTGGTGCCATAAAAACTTTATCTTTCTTTTCGTACAATGGTTTACTATTAAAGTCTACAACTGGAAGCATTCCTTGTGTGAAACAATGGACTTGTTCAGAAGATAATCCAAAATATTGATGTTCTTTAAAATAGTTATTAATTTCTTCTGTTGTTTCTTCATTAGTCATTAAAAACCAATGAATCATTACATTCTTTTGATGACTATATTCACTTGCTAATTCTTGAAGTCTTAATAATCGTTCTGATGTCATTTGGAATATTGATTTTGGTGTTTCAAATGGTAATACAAACATTCCTTTTGGATGTTCAAATCCAAGTCTACTTCCTTGTCCACCTGCAAGTGTTATTAGTGCAGCCTTTCCTTGACTAATTAATTCTAAACCATGATAATAATGTTCTTTAGTAACTGGTATTTTGTTAGTAGTAATTTCGACTGGTTGATAAGTCATAACGAATGTTTTGATTTGAAGATTTCTTAGTTTAAATCTCCTTTACTTTTTATGACTTTTCTATAACTTTTTTGTTATTTCAAGTTTAGTTTTACATATCAAATTTAATACTACTGTAAAAAAATAATTAAAATTTTAATCAAAATAAAAAAGGAAGACTTTTCGTAAATTTGAAATAATTTCCATAGTTCTGAGAAGAGTTATTTTATCACTTTCATAATATTTAAAATCATTCTGTATTAAGTCATTATTATGTATTAAAACAATTTTATTCAATATCTAAATCCTTTGGTATTTCTTTTATTTCATTTTATTGCTGTTATTAATAAGTAAATAATTATCATTTTTTTTCGGATAATAAATAACTTTTGTCAACAATAACTAATATTCAATTGGTTTGTATTATTAAATTAAAAAAGAGATTTATTCCTTTTTAAAACAAATAGCTTAAATGAAAGAAAGTGATTAGAATAGAATACAAAAGAGAATTCAAAGTATTAATGATAATCATACTTTTTTTTAGATTAAGCCATCTTATTCTTTTTAATTTAAAATCTTTTTTGTTTTGGTTCATTTATTAGATATAAATTTCTACCATACTTAAATTCAAAGGAGTTCATATAAAACATTTGTAAACTACTTTTTATAAATACAAATACAATTATGACCAAGGATAAATAAACAACAACATGGAATAAATAACTTACATAAGTTTTTTTTTATTACTACCTGATATAGAACTTTTTAAATTCATCTATTCTTCTATTTAAATTTAATAAAAATATAAAGACATCAAGGCTTTTAATAAATTCATTTAACTCTTTGATTTGAAAATTAAAATAACTAACGAAATTATTCTTAATTTCATCTTTAGTAATATAACTTAATTGATATCTATTACTAAGAAGTAGTCTAAATACTAGATTAGCTCGATTTCCAACAATCATTACAAGAACCACAAATAACAGAATCAGAACTAACAGTTCTTTTTGTGGATTCTTCAATTTTATTTCTTTCATTTTAATTGATTGTAGGTATATCTTCTGATAAATGAGATAATATTACAATTTACATCTGTCTTAGAATACCTGTTGAATTCTAATTAGAATGAGATTCTAAAAATAAAAATATAAATAAATATTTTAAAACAACGAATATTATTTTATTTATTTACAAATCCTATTTAAAAAATAATTATATTTCTGTATTTAATCTTTTGATGATAAAATAATATAAATCTATTAAACTTCTCTCAATTTAAGATAAAAAATCTAAGAGTTAAATTAATCATCATTTAATGATATATTGAAAGAAAATAATGCCACATTATGCAGAGATAAATATTATAACACAAAAGTCATATTTAAGTGATGAAGTTCTATCAATTTTTTCAATCAAATGAAAGTAATATAAAAAAAATTATAATTATTCTTCTTCAATAACTTTATTAATCCATTCGACAAAACAAGCAAATTGTTCTTGGTAATTATTTTCAGTAAAAAGTAAATGGTTCATTTTATTGTATTCTATGTATTTACTTTTTGAGTTTTTCAAATGAAGTGATTTGATCCTACTTCCACTAACATCAACAATAGAATCAGCATCGCCATGTTCTATATAAAAAGGAATAGTAATGTCAGTGTCTTTTTCAAAATCTCCAGTTTTAGCTATTTGAAAAACAGAATTTAAAGCCAAATTTCCATTAAACATAAAGGGGTCAGAATGATATTTAATGAATAATTCATCATTAGGGAATATTTTGTGATTTGAAGGACAAGGAATAAAGATCTTTGGAAAGAAAAAAAGAAGTATCATTAAAAGATAATAAAACCAATAAACGATTTTTGTTTTTAAAACTAATCCAGGGGCAATAGCTATTCCACCAGTAATATCAGATCTTGTTCTTGCAATAATACAAGTAATCAGTCCTCCCAATGAATGACCAAGTACAAATAAAGGTAGAGATGGTGTTGAAATTTTAATAATATTAATATATTCATTTGTTATATTAACTAATTCATCTACATTATTAAAATACGTTTTTGGTTTACCTGATGATCTTCCATGATAAGGAAAATCAAACATAAATACTGAAAATTTATTTTGAACAAAATATTTTGCTAATTCTGTTAATGGCCCAGAGTACCCTCTAAATCCATGCATGATAATTATGTTTGATTTTGCATTTTTAACGTGGTACTCACTACTAAAAATTGAATAATTATTAATATTGTACTTCTTTTCAATGAATTTCATTCTTAAATTTTTCGTTCATGAAATTTTATTAAATAATAAAATTAATAGTAAATTAGTTTATTTATTTAGTTTAATTTATTTCTAAAAAAAAATATTACTGTTTAAATCCAATTACATTTATTTGAATGGTTATTATAGTATTAAACTAAATAATTTCAGGTTTTGAAGTGTCAGGTTTTACTGGCAGTTGAGGTAAAGGACGTGATTTATAGGATAGTCTATTGTTTTCAGATAAACGTGAAAGACTTTTTTGATGTAAAGGAGCTGATTGAGTTAATGTAGATTCACTTGTTCTTAACTTATTTGGAACTTGTGGAGGCATTTTTTTTGGAGGTTGTGTAACTGAAAGATTTGAAGAAGAAGCAACTCCTGAATGTGAAAGTTGTTGTTTAGGTTGAGGAGTTGGAATTGGTTTATTTGGAGGGAGAGGAGGTTTTCTTTTTGGTTCAGGGTGATGTGAAGAAGGAACTGATTGCATTGAAGCACTATGTTGTAATGGAGTTTTTTGAAGGGTACTACCAACAACAGGAGAAGGAGAACGTTTAGGTTGTAAAGGTTGAGAAGGAGGAACAGAAGTAGAAGAAAGAGACCTAGGAGAAGGTTTTTTATCAAACTCAATATCTTCGAATTCTTGCCAATCATCGTTTTGTTGAGAATCATTAATATCACCTCCAGATAAAATCTTTTGTTGTTCAAAAATAGAACGTTTTGACATTTCAGTATCTAATCTTTTTTCTCTTGTTGATATGTCTTTTTGTTTCAATCGATTTTTATTATATAAATCAAAGCATTTTGCACACACTCTTTCTAGTGTATTATTTGGTGGAATTGGCATTTTCCATTTACTACACTCTCCACAAATACATCTTCCACATGCTCTACAATGATGTCTTCTTCTTACAAATGTAAAATCTATATGACATAATTCACAATTTAATGCTTCATTATCAGGTTTAAATACAGGACGAACAACAGTACTTCTTGTATTTTTAGCAGTGATAGTACCATTTTGTTTTTCAATAGATTTATTTAAAGCGTCAAGCCATTCTTTTTTATCTTCTTGGTTTTTAGCGAAAACAACAAAACTACGATTACCAGACTGAATTTGAAAAGCAAATTTACGGGTAGGAGAGTCTTGAATATCAGTAATAATACAATCTAATAAGTCAATAATTCTATCATCAGAAACAGTAACAATACCCATAGTTTCAGTTCCATAAATTAATTGGTCATTAAATAAAATGAAATATCTTGGTTTAGGAGTTTTTCTACATTGTTTAGTAAGAAAACCTTCTTTAACAAAATACCTAGAAGAATTAACTAATTCACCAGAATAACCACGAATAGAATCTCTTATTTTAAACATTTTTAACATTCTTTCAGTATTTAATAAAGCGGCATTACAAACTTGAGCCAATTCTTCTACTTCTTTTAAAACGCCTTGAATAATAGGATATTGAGAATGAGTGACATCAGTATTTTTTAAAAGATCTTTTAACAATAAAACGTATCGAGGAATACGTTGGACTGGCATAATAAGAATAGACCGTAATGGTTGTTGATTTTTACCAGGAATTTTAACACGACATTGTTCAAGAAATGAAAGAACAATAGGACTTTTTTCTATTGCTGCTAATGCATGTAAACAAATTTCATTATTTCCAATAAACATTTTATATACTTTTAAATAAGGTATAAATCTTTTAAAACAATCAACCACTTTATTTTCTAATATTTTATTATTTCTATAACTCTCCATATCTTTTAAAAATGCTGTTGCTGTTGAAAGAACTTCTGGTAAATATAAAAATATTTCGTTTTTTCTTGTTTCATTTAATTCACTACACTGAAGAAATGGTTTGTAATAATATTCAATACACTGCTCTAATGTCTTCACATAACTCTCTTCTGTTGTATATATCTCATCTACTATTCTTTCTCTTTTACTTATCTTTTCTTTTATTTTTCCTTCTTCATTTTCTTCTCCTTTTTCTTTCTCTGTGTTGTTCTTTTCAATTGGCTTTGTTAATGGGTCTATAACGTTTATAGATTCACTCATTGATTTTTAAGTTCTCCTTCTTTTGTTTAATGTTTTTTTTTTCCTTTTTTTTTAGTTTTTTATGTCTTTATTAATCGTTTTTATAAACCATCTTTAATAAACTTAAAAATATCTCTTTGAATGTTATTTTTAATATTTTATACAAAACTCTTTCATTATTTAGTAAAAAAAAAGTATTCAATTAAAATATTAATTGTGGGTGTACCATCCTTTTCTAGAAATTATTCTTGGTTTCTTAATAGTAACATCATTACATGAAGAGTATTGAGGAACTTTAGCACGTAATTTAGATTCAAATTCACTAAGAGAACACATATCGTCAGTTAAAGTACATAATTTATTTAATTTTAATACTTCATCATTTAACAATGTTCTAACAAATATTTGATTATCTTTAGTATAATATTCAAATACTAAAGTAGATGCATAAGGAATAGCTATTTGAGTGTCATATTCAAGTAATGCTAAAATACCATAAATTGAAGTATCATGTGCAGAATAATGTTGATAAACGATATTTGAATTTAATGCTTCGTCAGTGTCATTTAACATTTCATCAATAAAGAATCCAAGTTGATATGGGGCAATTTCATTATTAAAGAAATATTTATTTTCATATAAATATTCATCAACAAGAATTTTATAATCATCTTCTGTAAAACACTCATTATCTTTACAAGGAAGAGTAACATTATGACAGATACGAGCTGTTATTAAATCAACATAATCATATAAATATGATGTTCCTGATTCAAATCCAGTAATTCTATATAATTTATTAAATACATTTTTAAATGTTGGTTCTTCTCTTCTTTTAACAATATCTTCATTTGTTGCTATTTTTTCTTCTAATTCATTAATTTTAGGACAACAATTTCTATTTGGTTTTAGTGTTTCAATTTCATATGGTCTTGTTTTTATTTCTATATCAATTACACTTTTTCTTCTTTCAAGTGGATAAAATGTTTGTAAAAATGCTTGTGCACTTTGTAATGTTCTTACTTTAGCTGATGCCCTAATTTTAACAATTGATGGGTCGAAGTATGTTGGTAATAATTGATGATGTTTTCTATATATTTCGTCAAAATGTTTTCCTAACTGATAGTGCATTGTTATTCCTTCTGGTGTTAATTGTCCTGGCTCACAACTTCCTTTCCACATATAATTCTCTGCAAATGGATTATTCTTTTTATCAATTACTGTTGCTTTAGAAGATGCTGTATGGGACACTTTATTTCCATTATTCATATAAATGTGTGACTCTTCTAATGTGTCACAACGAAATTCTCCATTGTCTCCATAAAATGAATCTCCTGGAGCTCTATCTCCATGTCTTGCAATGGCCTGAACATACTTAAGTGTATAACCGTTTACTACATCTTTGTACGGAGCTCTACTTGGTGTGCATAACTGACTATAACTTAAACAAATAAATAAAACAAGTAAGAACATTACTTTGTTTAATACTTTTTTTCAGTTCTTTTAAGTTCTTTTCTTTTCTTTTTTCTTCTTCTTCAATTCTTTTTTCCATCCTTTATTTGTGTATTATAAAACATAATTTATTATTTGAAATATTTAAATGATATTTTCAATTTAAAAAAATTAGTGCATTATCTTTATTTATATGCATCCTCTTTTTCAAAACTATTCTAAAAAAATAATATTGTTTAATGAATTGTTGGTTAAAATATTTTATTTGGTTTTATGTTTTATTTATCTCTCTTTTATTAAATTATTAAATAAGTATAATTATTACAAATCAATATAATAAATATTAATTAGTAACAAAACAAATGAACTCTTTTTTTAATTGGTTATATTATTTTTTTGTTTATTGTTTATGTTTTGGTTTATTATTTTTATTCATTTACTACTTCTTATTATTATCTACATTATATTTTTCAAGTTTATTGTTTATTAATTATACAGATTCTTTGATTTAATAATAAAATTTCAGTTTAATAATTCTTCAGTTAATACCCTACTCAATGTCTGTTTGTTTTATTTAAAATGTCAACAAACTTTATTTGTTTAAATAAAATATTTAAACAACTTTTTAGTACGATAGTTTTGTAGTTATACTTTGTTGATTGATATTTTTTTAGAAAACATATTATTATATACCATTTGATACTACAATGTTTTATTTTTTATTGTTTTTCTTCATAATAACTCAAATGAATACAAATAAACAACAAATATATTAAAATAACTTTTGGGTACAGTGGCATTATTATATAAATGAATTATATTACAAAAATAATAACTATCTTAAATTAGTCTTGCAATATCAATAAATTATTCTAATCAAATTATTATTAATATAACAGGAAGAAATGATAAATACAATTACAGGAAACGAATAAAATTCAATTAAAATACATATTTTGTAAGAATGATGAGTAATGAAAAGAGTGGTATTAAAGAAGTATAGAAAGAAGTATAAATAGAAGATATAAAAAATCAATTAATAAATGATATATAAAATAGAAAGCGTAGTACAAATAATCTAATAATTAAATGAAAGATATAAAATAATAAGAATAAAAGAAACAATTCTATTTGGTTTGTTATATCTAAAAATATTCAACGTTTTGATTTTTTTATTCTTATTTTATTAATTTCAAGTAAAATGTTGTTGTTTTCTTAATTTTGATTTTAATTTTTTATTTATTATCATTATTTCAATGCCTCAACATTTCTTTTC